ATCTATCTATCTATCTATCTATCTATCTATCTATCTATCTATCTATCCATATATTTTTCCCTCAAACTTCCCTAATATTGACAAAGGCCTCATAAGTTATAAATATCATCTTTCCATGTAGAAATGTAAACAGCTCCACTTTAATAAGTCCCTTATGATTTCTCTTTCCTCTTCACCTTTTCATGTTTCTCTTGAGTCTTGTATTTGAAAGTCAAATTTTCTATTCAGCTCTGATCTTCTCATCAAGAATGCTTGAAAGTCCTCTATTTCACTGAATGTTCATTTTTCCCCCTGAAGGATTATCTCAGTTTTGCTTGGTATGTGATTCTCGGCTATAATCCTATCTCCTTTGACCTCTGGAATATTATATCCCAAGCCCTCAGGTCCCTTAATATAGAAGTTGCTAAATCTTGTGTTATCCTGATTGTGTTTCCACAATACTTGAATTGTTTCTTTCTGGCTTTTTGCAATACTTTCTCCTTGACCTGGGAACTCTGGAATTTGGCTATAGTATTCCTAGGAGATTATCTTTGGGGATCTCTTTCAGGAGGTGATTGGTGGACTTTCAATTCATATTTTACCCTCTGGTTCTAGAAAATCAGAGCAGTTTTCCTTTATAATTTCTTGAAAGATGATGACTAGGCTCTTTTTATGCTCATAGCTTTCAGGAAGTCCAATAATTTTTAAATTATCTCTCCTGGATCTATTTTCCAGGTCAGTTGTTTTCCAATGAGATATTCCACATTGTCTTCTATTTTTTCGTTCTTTTGGTTGTGTTTTATTGTTTCTTGATTTCTCATGAAGTCATTAGCTTCCATTTGCTCTATTCTAATTTTTAAGGAAGTATTGTCTTCAGTGAGCTTTTGGACTTCCTTTTCCATTTGGCCCATTCTGCCTTTTAAGGCATTCTCCTCATTGGCTTTTTGGACCTCTTTTGCCATTTGGGTTAGTCTATTTTTTAAGATGTCATTTTCTTCAGTATTTTTTGGGTCTCCTTTAGCAAGCTGTTGACTTGTTTTTCACAATTTTCTTGCATAACTCTCATTTCTCTTCCAGTGTTTCTGCTACTTCTCTTACTTGCTTTTCAAAATCCTTGTTGGGATCTTCCATGGCCTGGGACTGATTCCTATTTTTCTTGGAGGCTTTGGATGTAGGAGCTTTGACTTTGTTGTCTTCTTCTGGTTGTATGTTTTGATCTTCTTTGTCACCAAAGTAACATTTTGTGGTCTAACTTTTTTGGACTGTTTGCTCATGATCCGAGCCAATTACTTGAGTTATAAACTCTTTGTTAAGGTAGGGGTCTGTTTCCAGTGTGGAGAATGTATGATTCCAAGCTTCAGGGTTTTGTGGAGCTGTTTTCAGAGATACTTCTAAGGACCTGTAAATTTTCGTTTCTTCCAAGGTAGTATGATGAAGGGTGAGGTGTTTGCCTTTTCTGGTCTGGGCTCTGGTCTATGAGTGACCACAAACACTCTTTTCTGTCTTGGAACTGTGAGGAGGATTCCCTCTCCACCACCATCACAAGCTCCACCACACTAGTGCTCCTCCTCGCCCCAGCGCTGCCACCCAGAACTGAGACCCAGATCCAAGTACAGGCAAAGCAAGAGAATCCTGCCTTAGCACCAGCAAAGAGATACCTGCAATTTCCCTCTGATCAGCCAGTCAATTCCCCCTCCTTCTATGGGCCGAGAGCTCCAGAAGCAGCTGCTGCTCCAGGGTAGCACTAGGACTGGAGCTGGACCGAGCTCCTGTCTCACCATAGTCAGACAGACCCTTCCTACAGACCTTCTAAGTTGTCTTTGGCATTTGTGGGTTGAGAAGTCTGGAAACCACCGCAGCTCCCCTTGATTCAATCTCCTGAGGACTGTTCCAGGTTCACTGAGGCCTGGTTTTTGCCTGTGTGGCCCACACTGAACTGTGCTCCTCTCCCAGCCTGGCACAGTAGACCCTTCCAAATAAACATCCAAGTTTTCTTGGGCTGAAAATTTGTTTCACTCTGTCTTTTTGTGGGTTCTGCTGCTCTAGAATTTGTTTGGAGCCATTTTTACAGGTATTTGGAGGGATTTGGGGGAGAGCTCAATCAAGTCACACTTTTACTCAGCTGTCTTGGCTCTGCCTCTCAAACCCATTTATTTCTTCAAAATCTTCAAGACTTCAAGATCAGTTCTCTATCGACTACACCATACTACCTCTATTTTTATGTGAAAAAAGATACCAAATAATAGCACAGCTAAGGTAAAATCTCATTTATTCAGACTTTCAGAATTCACCATGATTTGGTCCTGGTATTCGTTCATTCATCCATACAGTATAAAGGTAACATAATATTCTGGGATATACTAATCCTCTTACCTGGTACATATAACAGTTGGTGTGAAGATCTGCGGAGAAAGATCTGGTGCACTCTGAGTATATGTCAAGATTCTGTGAGAGCTTAGGCCTTGTTTGGGAGTTACTTCTGCAGATTCTGGAAACTGCATTGCAGAAATTTTGCTGATTGGACTATTGGCTGGGCTCCCTTGAATAGGTGAAGGACTTGGGGATGAAAGAGGTGAAATTTTAGCTAGAACACCTGAAAATAAAATAAGAGTTATTTCACTGAGAGAACTTAATCATGGTTCAAAATTGCAATTCCTCAGCTTTGATACAATAATTACTAGAATACATGGAATCCTACTAGCTCACTAATAAATAAAGCACTCAAGGCTCTCTGTTAGGTAATGAATTAGAATCTGCTCTAAGATAACCATCCTAACAACAACATAACAACAGAAAACATGTCCTGCCTGAAATCAGGATATGTGGATAAAAATGATTTCCATATTATGGGACCCAAGGAATATAATATCATAAAAAAAATGAATGAGGACTTAATTAGGATCATAGATGAGAGTTAGAAGGACTTCACAGGTCATCTAGTACAACTGCCTCCGCTTAAAAATGAGGAAACTGTACTTGGGGGAGTTTAAATGACTTTCCCATGATCACTCAGGCAGCAAAGGGCAGAGCCATTACTTTTCTCATTGTTCCATGCCTCATGACTCTTCAACATGTGACCAGAACAGGGGTGGGGAACTTGCAGCCTCGAGGCCACATGTGGCCCTTTAGGTCCTCAAGTGTGGCCCTCTGACTGAATCTAAACTTCACAGAACAAATCCCCTTAATAAAAAGAATTGTTCTGTGAAGCTTGGATTCAGTCAAAGGGCTGCACTCAAGGACTTAGAGGGCCACATGTGGCCTCAAGCCTGCAAGTCTCCCACCCATGGACTATGCCAACCATCAGCATTTCTGTATCTTTCCAACAAAACCCAGAAAGAAGAACTAGAAAAAGAAAGACCATTTAAAATATTTGTAGAGTATATAAAATATATATTTTTACCTATCAAGATATACCCAGAATATAAGTGAATATAACTACAAATCTCTTTTTGTGGAAATAAATATAGACTTAAACAACTGGAGAAATATTAGTTGCTTCTCAGCAGGCTGAGCCTATAAAATAAAAAATGACAATGTTACATAAATTAATTTATCTATTCATTACCAAACCAAGCTAACAAAGAATTACTTCATAGAAATAGGAAAAAAACATATTTAAAAATACATCTGAAGGAATAAAAGGTCAAGAGTCTCATGGGAAGTAATAATTTTCTAGTGATCAGTAGAAACTATTAGGTATATAGCATACAGGAGCAAATAAACACAGTGAGCAAATTTTTGATAAACCGAATACCAAATAAACCCAGATACTAGGTAAGAACTCACTAGTTAACAAAAAGTTATTGTGAAAAATAGACAGCATTCTTATAGAAAATAAGTATAGACTAACTCAAACCACATGCAAAGATATGTTCATTACTTAGACATGAAAGATGAAATCATAAACAAATTGGAGGAACAAATGAAAAAAAAAATACCATTCAGTTCTATAGATAAGGAAATAGTTCATGACCAAATAAGAGATAGATAGGATCATAAAAGGAAAAGAAAAATGGACAATTTTTATTATGTAAGATTTAAAAGGTTTTTTTTTTTGCAAAAGCAAAATCAATGTAGCTAAAATTAAAATGAAAGCAGGCAATAGGAAGGGGGAAATCTTTGTAGTGAATTTCTCTGAGAAAGGCTCATTTCTAAGAGCTATTTGGAAGTTGATTAAAATTGATAAGACTAGGGCCATTCTCTAATTGACAGTTGGTTAAAGGATATCAACAGGCAGAACTCAAAGAAAGAAATTCAAGCCATATGAATCCAATCCAACAGAGATATGAAAAAAATCCTCCAAGTCACTAATAATTAGAGAAAAGCAAATTAAAACAGCTCCAATTGGTCAGATTGATAAAGTTAACAAAATAGGAAAATGGGTAAAAGAGGTCCAAATAGCTAGTGAGGAGAAGAATGCCTTAAAAAGCAGAATTAGCCAAATGGAAAAGGAAGTCCAAAAGCTTACTGAAGAAAATAATTCCTTAAAAATTAGAATGGAGCAAATGGAAGCTAATGACTTTATGAAAAATCAAGAAACAATAAAACAAAACCAAAAGAATGAAAAAATAGAAGACAATGTAAAATATTGAAAAAACAACTGACTGAAAAATAGATCTAGGAGAGGTCATTTAAAAAATTATTGGACTACCTGAAAGACATGCTCAAAAAAATGTAGATATCATATTTCAAAAAATTATCAAGAAAAACTGTTCTGATATTCTAGAACTGGAGGATAAAATGGAAATTGAAAGAATCCACCAATTAGCTCCTGAAAGAGATCCAAAAATGAAAACTGCCAGGAATATTATAGCCAAATTCCAGAGTTCCCAGGTCAAGGAGAAAATATTGCAAGCTGCCAGAAAGAAACAATTCAAGTATGGTGAAGCCACAGTCAGGATAACACAAGATTTAGAAGCTTCTACATTAAAGAATCAAAGGACTTGGAATATGACATTTCAGAGGGCAAAGGAGCTAGAAATAAAACCAAGGATCATCTACCCAGCAAAACTGAGTATAGTCCTTTGGAGGTGGGTGTGGGGAATAGGCATTCAATGAGATAGAGAACTTTCAAACTTTCTTGATGAAAAGACCAAAGCTGAATAGAAAAATTGACTTTCAAATACAAGACTCAAAAGAAACATAAGAAGGTAAACAGGAAAAAGAAATCACAAGGGGCTTAATAAGGTTAAACTGTTACATACCTTCATTGGAAGATATTTGTAACTCATAAGACCTTTTTCATTATTAGGTAGTTAGGAGTGTGTGTGTGTGTGTGTGTGTGTGTATACACACACATACAGAGAGAGAGAGAGGGTACTGGTGTGAGTTGAATGTGAAGGGAAGGTGTCTAAAAAATAAAATTAAGGGGTGAGAAGAATGTTCTGAGTGAAAGAGAAAGGGAGAGGTAGAATGGGATAAATTATCTCACATAAAAGAGGCAAGAAAAAGCTTTTACAGTGGAGGAGAAGAGGGGGGAGGAGAGGAGGAATGAATGAATCTTACTCTCATCAGACTTGGCTCAAAGGGGGAATAACATACACACTCGGGTATAGAAATCTATCTTAACCTACAGGAAGGTAGAAATATAAATGGATAAGAGAAGGGGAAGGGTTAATAGAAGAGAGGGTAGATTGAGGGAGGGGTTAGTCAGAAGCAAAACACTTTTGAGGAGGGACAGGGTGAAAGGAAAGAGAATAGAATGAATGGGAGGTAGGATGGAAGGAAATACAGTTAGCAATAGTAACTATTGAAGTGAGTTTCTTTGATAAAAGTCTCATTTCTCGAACATAGAGAGAACTGAATCAAATTTATAAAAAAAATAAGAGCCATTCACCAATTGATAAACAATTAAAATATATGATCAGTTTTCAGATGAAGTGATCAAAGCTATCTGTAAGCCACATGAAAAAAATACTCTAACTCATTATTGAAGAAATGGAAGAAATGCAAATGAAAACAATTCTGATGTACTACTTCATACCTGTTAGAGTGGCTAATAGAACAGAAAAGGTAAATGACAAATGTTGGAGGGGATGTGGGATAAATGAGACATTAGTGCACTGTTGATAGAGTTATGAATTGATTCAACCATTCTTTAGAACAATTTGGAACTATGCCCAAATGGTCATAAAACCATGCATAGCCTTTGACTTAGCAATACCACTGCCCCAAAAGTGCTAAAAATAAAAAAAGGAAAAGGATTTATATGTACAAAAATATTAATAGCCATTCATTTCTGGGGGCAAAGAATTAGAAATTGGGGGGATGCCGATCAATTGGGGAATGGTTGAATAAGTTGTGGTATGTGATTATGATGGAATAATGTTGTACTCTAAGAAATGCTGAGCACGATGCTTTCAGAAAAACCTGGAAAGGCTTGCATGGGCTGATACAAAGTGAAATATACTGTGTAAAAAGTAACAACAATATTGTAAGATGATCAGCTATGAATGACTTAGCTATTCTCAGCAATACAATGATCCAGGACAACTCTGAAGGACTTATGACGAAAAATCCTATCCATTCCCAGAGAAAGAACTGATGGTGTCTGATTACAGATTGAAGCATACTTTTGTTTTTTACTTTATTTTTCTTGAGTTTTTTTGTCTATGTTTTCTTTCACAACATAGATATTATTAATACGTTTTGCATGACTACACATGCATAACCTATATCAAACTGCTTGCCTTCTCAAAGCAGGGGGGAGAGGTTGGGAGGAAGGGGGAGAATTTGGAACTGAAAGTTTTAAAAATTGTTTTTACATGTAATTGGGGAAAATAGAAATTAAATACTAAAAAAATAGGAAAATGACAAATGTTAAAGTGTCTACACAAAAACAGGAATATCAATGTATTTTTTGACGGAGCTGTGAATTGATCCAGCCATTCTGGAAAGCAATTTGGAATGATGTCCAAAATTTTACTAAACTACGAATATCCTTTGACTCAGTGATGCCATTACTGGATCTATATCCCAAAGGCATCAAATGAAGAAAGAAAAGGAACCATATATACAAAAGCATGTAGTGCAACTCCATTTTGCTGGCAAATAATTGGAAACTTAAGAGGATGCCTTTCAACTGGGGAATGGCAAAACAAATTATACTATATGAATGTAATGGAGCACTATTGTGCTATAAGGAATGATGAAGGAGACAGTTTTCAGGGAAACTGGGCAAGACTAGTAATGAACTGATATGGTGTGGAAGAAACAGGAAGAAATATTGAAAAATAAGTGTGAAGACAAATAATTTTGGAAGACTGAAGAACACTGACCCTCACAATAACCAACCAGAATTCCAGAAGATTGGTAATGATAAAACATGCTACCTGCTTCCAGATAGAGAAGTGATAGGTACAGAATGAAGCATATTTATTAAATGTGGTCAATCCAGGAATTTATTTTGCTTGACCATGCATATTTGTTAAAGGGTTTTTTGTTTATCTTACTTTTTTCAATGGGAGGTAAGGGGAGAGGGAGAGAAAAAAGATAACTTGTTAATTTTGAAAGATTAATTTAAAAAATAGGATCTTTGGTGGCAAAGCCAAAATAGACTACAGAATGGGACTCAGCCAAATTCTGACATTGCCC